CACACACACACACACACACAGTATATTTCTGTTGATACTGGTGACAAATCTATCGTGATACATTAACCGTAATTTAACCAGGAAAATCCCTTTGAGATCAAAGATCCCAGGGAGGCCTGGACCTGAAAGCAAACAAGTACATGGTTTTGGTCAGTGGGAGAAACCGGAGTACCCGGAGAAAACCCACACAAGCATGAGGAGAACATGCAATCTCCGCTCAGAAAGACCCCAGGTATGAACCGGCGATCGAACCCAAGACCCTCTTGCTGAGAGGCATCAGTGCTAACCACTGAGATGTTGTGCTGTTTTTTCTGATATTGACGCATCTATTGCAATATATATACCTTCATTGTTCTGTGTTAATAGACGTGTCTATCGCGATATATTATTTTATACTGATAATGATGACATGTCTATTGCAATATATCTCATTGTTTTCTGTTGATACTGATGACATTTATATTGCATTATATATCAATATTGTTTTTTACTGATATTGATGACATGTCTATTGCAATATATATTATTGTTTTATTGCCCAGCCCTACATTGAGATGAGTTTTCAGTAAGAATGTGCAAATATTAGTCTTTCATTGTTTCATATTGTTGCTGCTCTCTTGCTTCAGAGATGGTGTCAATTTGGAGTTTTTGCATGACAATTAAAATAAAGAGACAACAAAAATGGTCATTTTTACTCACGTGGATGTTTGCATGTAAAGTTTAAAAAAAGTAATTTTAAGCAGCTAAAACCAAGCACGTTGCTGCATCACTTGTTCTGTTTTCAGTTATAGTGATGGGTTAAACCAACAAAAGGCCAACAAGACGGCCTGTTGAATTGTTAGGCTGTAAGCACCCAAAACCACTATTCACCTTACTGAATGGTCCTTCAGTAAAACACCGAAGCTCTGGCAGATTTAGTGGTGCTGATCTTCTCAGCCTTCCACCCGCTTCATGRGGTACAAGCTTGAAGTGTCATGGCACACAGTCACCTTTTTTCCTCACCCAAAATGTTTTGACAGAAGCTTTAATTTTATTTTATTTTTTCTCCAATTGAATTTTCTGTATTTGGCTGCCCTTTTTTATTGACTTCTCTGCACCTTGACTGCCAGTCTGCAGCTCACTCTCTGTAACACAGGAAAATGTGTTCAGTCCCATAGGATTTGTCTTTGATAAATAATTTTATGTGCTTACATAGGGCCGTTTTAATATAAAATTAAGAAATCAATACCATTCTTGACCTAAGTTAGTAACTATGAACACCTGAATTTTAAAAAGTGTTTGATATTCCTCATGCATGTATCTTTTCAAATTGTATGCATTTTCATTACGAAAAAAAGCACAATACTCAATGTACATGTATGTGAGTAAAGAATTATTTTAGTGAATAATGGGATAAATAATACAGAAAGGGTCTCTCAGACAGCACATGATTTTGTAATGTCTGTTTTAGTTTTTTCACTTGATGCATCAGTCTGCATGGTTTCACTGTGCGATTCAAAACCATACCTGTGCACAAACCCCTGCACAGCCCTAACTGATACAATTGCAACTTCCTCCCGCTTCCGTATGATATGTTTATGGTGTTTTCTGCTATAAATGTGTGCACTTTTCCTGATGTGGATACAATAGATGTGAGCTTTAAAGCAGCAGATTTTGAGGATGCCTGCAGGTAGCTTGCTTAAGCTTTTGTGTTCTGGCAGCTGCAGACAAGAATGGGTGTCTGTGAGCTTCTGGCAACCTCCACCATAAGCTCCATCTTTTGACTGTGCCTCCTTTCGCTCTACCTGTTCCCCTCATTTATTTTTCCCCCCATGGTGCCATGAGCAAGAACGTAGCTCATGGGGAATTTAACCTGTTTTTTTTTTTTTACCTGTGGCAAATGCACTCATTGACATGTTGCATGWATGCACACTTTTCTCTCTGCAATTTTCTTAAGAAAGATGATTATTAAGTTTATTATGTTTGCAAAGTAGGAAGGTATAATGGGATGAGGAGGACATGGGATTGATTAATGCCACACTTCCTGATTCCCCCTCAGGTCGGACAGGCCACACCGAGGTGGTGAGGGTGGTCTTCTCCCCTCAGGACATCAGCCTCGAGGAGCTGCTCAAACATTTTTGGGAGAACCACGATCCTACACAAGGTAGTAGCGCACTTCCACACACACACACACACACACACACACACACACACCACAGTCACCTTCAAATTAGACCCATCCCAAAGGGCCGAAAAATGTATTAGAGCAGAAGGATGATGCCCAAGCATGTGCCTGTGCTTGTTGTGGTGGGGGGAAGGTCTCATGGGTGGAAGTCAATGCCAGACAGTGTTAATGTGTCTGAGATCCAGCCATCCATAGAGGTGCGCACCAGTMTGGTGCACATTCAAGCCCCAGTTGTAGAAAAATTCGAGCTGTTCATGGCATGCAATGTGAACTAGGCCTCTCTCTTTTGAGCAATGCAGTGATGATAGCAAATTATTTTTTCTGACCTGAATGATGCTCAGATCAATTAAAAATTTTTAATCCCAAGAACCAAGTGAATTTAAAACAAAATGTCTGCAGCGGACCTAATTAATTTACAACTTTTGGTTGTGATGCACATTCCTACACTATTTGAAAAAGCACATTGCGTATTTGCTACCCTCTCATCCATGCACAGAGTGTCGACGAGAACCTCCTCTTAAAAAAATAAAATAATAAAATCTCTCCATCTCTTCAAGTCTGTTGTGCTCTTGTTTTTTGTGCTCACTGAAGGAGGTGATGTAAGAACATTAATGCATCAGTAGGACACATGGAGGGTGTGTGTGTGTGCGTTTATGTGTGGGTCGGCAAGAACGTACAAAGTGGTACTCTGCGCACTCATACTGAATGAAGGGAGGGGCGTGACAAGTTGAGAAGAGACAGATCAAAGATTTATAGGCCCGTTGATGCTCACCATAACTGTCCTCTCGRCTTTTTTTTTAATCTGTTGAACACGTTTAAGTGAAATTTACCAAAAGAATCGGTCATGTTTCACCACCACTACTGATATAAGTTTATACATGCGCTGACTGACCAACTAAGAGTTTTCTGAGTCGGAGGAAGAAGTTGTGTTTAAGAACTTCTTTGTCTCCTCTGTTAGTAGCTGAAGGTAGTCAGGTCTTTCTCCGAGCAAAGTCGCACATAGTTGAGCTGACAAACCACAGGGCAAAGGCGGCGAGGCCAAAACGAACAGACATACTTTTCTCCAGATGTTTCATCTTATATTTTATTAATATCATGCAGCTTTTTATCTACGCATTCAGCTTTTATCTATGTGTTTATTTTGATCACAGTTAAAACCAGTTTAAAATCACTGCAAACCGTTTCAGAACCTGTAATCAAAGACATCTTTTT